TTCGATGAGATTGTGGAAAACAGGAAACCTAAAGCCCCTCACTCTTTTTGGAAAGCTTCTTTTCTTAAACGAAAATTTTCCTCCCGATCATTATTAAGGCTTCTTTCAGTTTTGTTTTCTCCTCTGCTGGCTTTTTCACTATCTCTGGGATTGTAGGACAAGAAAACCCATGAATGGTGACCATCGTTCTCTGTGACTCTCACGCTCAACATAAATCAAGGAAACTTGGCCCCTTGATCCAACTCTCTGTCAGCCGTAAAGGATGAACCCTAGCCTCTTTAATGGTGAATCAATCTCTGTGAATATTGGAATTGGAAAGTAAGACAAGAGAAAGAGAATTGGTTGATCATTTTTCTCTCTCTCTAGGCATCCTCCAAAGGTCTCAGGTAAAATTAGGGTTTAGGTTAATGTGGTATTGCTTTTTGTACATGGTGAAGTGTTTTTCCATCTCTACATAGTTATTTATATAGATCTTATATATTTCTTCCAGCATATCAGATAGAACTAGGGCTAGATTTCAGTAGATTTTTCTAGAATTTACTTTGGATCTGATCTTTATGGGTGGTCATGCAAAAACATAGTTTTAGGTGATCTTATCTAGAAAATTAGTTACGGTTGTGATTTAGGTATGATTCTCATATATTTGAATGGTTTTAAACCATGTATTTTAAAAGTGAATGTACCATTAATTTTAATTCAAAGTTCTATTTTCTATGAAGTATAAGATGTTGGGTTTTATTTTGATGTGTTTTTGCCATTTTTTGTGTTTTTTTTTTTATGTATTCTATCACTACTTCAAAACAATTATTGGGGACATTATTTATTTAAATTTGGCCTAAGATTTAATAAACCATCATCTTTTGTGTTATGTTTGAGATAGTTTATTCCCGACAGTTTGTGTATCCCACAGAAACGAGGCTTTTAGAGGCCATTTTACTATATTTTTAAAAAAGAGGATTTTTGTTGGATGTTAAAGGATTGATGTGAAATTGTAAATATTCAAATCCGTAACCATAATGACTTATTCACTTTTGTTTTTTGTTTTTGTTTCTTATGTATTTCAACTTTTGTAAGTCATGACAAGAAAGGTATCTTGAAAGTTGTTTTCTTCCTTGTTTAGGTGGTTTTTGTTCTCCAAATTTTAAAGTTTCTGATATAGAATGGATTGTCTTCAATCCCAATTGGAAAATCCCTTTGAAATGGTTACTTTCTCCGGTATACCCCTTTAGATGTGCTCCTATTTATTTAATATTTATAATGTACATGATGTTGTTTACTGTGATGAAAATAACCATCTCAATAATATTAGTAGTGCTGTAGAGTAGTAAATTATAATGGTGATGGTTGCGATAATGAATTTGCACTTGAGTTTCTTCAATTACATGAAGTTCAAAGCAAGTCATTAAATGCTCTAATTAATTTTCTTTCATCTTTAAGGGTTAAAAAATTAGGATGAATCTGATCATGGACAGAAGGTTAACAGTTGATATGGAGATGGGGAGTAATTTGGGTAATAATGAGATAGATACACCTAAGCAAATGGGAACTCCTCTAATTGATGATTATAGAATCGATGATTTTGGCTGCGACAATGAATTTGATGATACTATTCTTGTATATGGTGATAAGACTAGTGAGTTTGATGTAGGCCAAGATGCATATGAGCCTATCATCCTGGAGCCTCTATCTTCTAAACTTTCTAAAGATGTCTCACAAGAGGGTATGCGGTTTGAGTCCCCTAAGCCGCATTGGATTTCTATAACGAGTATGCAAAAAATTTGGGTTTCATAGTTCGATGTGCTTCAAGTCATTGATCAAGAAAAAATCAATCACTTATCATTCGTGAATATGTTTGCTCAAAAGAAGGTCAATGACACAATAAATATGAGGGGAATCGATCTAGGTCACCTACAAGGATGAGGTGCAAAGCTAAGCTAAGAATAAATAAGGATGAGTGCAGTATATGGTTTACGAAGTATAATAAAGAACATTCTCACTTATTGGCTTCACCATAAGTTCATCTCCTTTGTTCACATCACAGAATTCTCAAGCCCACAAGAGAATTGATCCATATATATAGCTTATGTGGGTTAAGTGCCCAAAAGATCATGAAGGTGGTGAGTGCACAGGCTGGAGGTCAAATGAGTCTTTCTTTCATAGTGCAAGATTGCAAGAATGAAATATACAGAAATCGAAAAAATTCACATTTGGTAGGCGGGGATGTAGAGGGTTTGATAGAGTTCTTTGCTGCTAAGATTGATGCAAACCTCCATTTACATACATGGTACAAGTTGATCAAGATGGGCACCTAACAAATGTAATGTAAAATCCAAAATAGCGTGTGATTTCTTTGGGATGTCATTATATTTGACACAACATACAAGAACAATGCCTATAAATTTCCATGTGTCCCGAGTTTAGGAGTAAACCTTCATATGAGGACTATCGTCATAGGGTGAGCTTTGATCCAGAGAGAGGATGAGGACTATTTTATATGGTTGTTTATAAAGTGGGTTGAGGTGATGACTACACGTCAACCCAATAAAATCATAACTGATCGACCCAATACAATCATAACTGATCGATATGAGGCAATGGCCCTTGCTATAAAGAAGGTCTTTCATACTCTCGACATCACTTGTGCAGATGACATATTTTACAAATATTTTGAGCAGAAAATAGGGCATAGACATCCATCATTCTGTTGGGACATCTACAATTGCATCGGCCATTGTACCACAAATATCGAATTTGAAGCTGGATGGTCAGGAATGATCGAAAGATATGATGTAAAGAATCAGGAATGGCTTCAGCCCTTATATCAGATCCAAGGTCAGTAGGTGGATGTATATTTGCAAGATTGTTTCTTTGCTGGAAATTGGATTAGTGGGAGAAGTGAAGTCATGAACGAGGACATGGCACACGTGAATTCCCGTACCAACTTAACAATTAAAAAATAATTAACAAAATGGTTGATGACGAAAATACTCTAGACTTTGAATCTCGCAGAAAAATACTAGTTATGAAGACTGCTAGTCGAATAGAGATGCAAATGGCTCGAATTTATACCGTATCTGTCAATACTTTTTTCAGCCAGAGTTGGTGAAAGCCATTGTTTTTATTTGTGAAGTACAAGAGGGTGATGGGTTTTGTGCATTTTCAATTTGCACAAATATGGGATTCAGTAACTTGGCGCACATAGTCCTACAGCCATCTGTCATTGGGTAGTAATGGCAATTTGTGCTTACCTAGTTGGTTGCACACTTCTCATTTTTTTGGCTCCCCAATTTGTCATCCTTCATTGTTAACCGTGTACAATACCTGACCAGACCCATTCACAGCCCTACATAAGGTTTTATGTATGGAGATCTTTTTCTCCAATACTGGGAGCATTTTGTTCAGGATTGCAAGTGACCCTAAATGGCGGATAACTAACAGTCGAGGTGAAGTGGGTGAGGAGCAGTAGAGGTCTATAGCTATAGGGAGCACAAGAACCCTCAAGGGAGCATGAGTAACATCCAAGGCAATGTCCCGAAGGAGTAGGATTGATTGGCTTAATTTTTCATGCCATTACATTTTTTATTTCCCGGGGGATGGCATTGTAGGAGAAATTTTGGTACCTTTTCAAACCCTTGTCTGTATTGTCCACTTTTGAGCTACCTACTATTTTTTGTCGTTTTGGTGATCCACTTTTAAGCTACCCACCATTTTTTGTCATTTGGGTTTTTGGATAGAGCACCTAGTTTGTGGGATGCCTAATCTTTTGTACTTATATATTGACCAAGCTCAAACTACAAAAGAAATTTTTTTGAATTTCATAACACATCCAAGCTATAAAATTTCACCTCAAATAGTTGTAAAGAATTGTGACCAGCTTGTATCAAAGATAAATAATTTCATTCTATACAATCCGACACACACACACACACATATATATATATATATATATATATATATATATATATATATATATATATATAACTAATA